GTAAGTCTACATCTGGAATACTGCATCCAGTTTTGGTCACCACATTTCAAAAGAGATGTTGAGACTTTGGAAACAGTGCAAAGAAGAGCAACTAAGATGATTAAAGGCCTGGAGATAAAAACATGAAGAATGGTTGCAGGAATTGAGTATGGCCAGTCTAGAGAAAAGGACTAGGAGTGACAAGATAGCAGTATTCCAGTATTTTAGGGGCTGCCACAAAGAAGAAGGGGTCAACTTATTTTCCAAAACACCAGAGAGTAGGATAAGAAACAATGGATGGAAACTATTCAAGGAGAGAAGCAACCTGGAATTAAGGAGAAAGTTCCTAACAGTGAGAACAATTAACCAGTGGAACAGCTTGCCTTCAAAAGTTGTAGGTCCTTGGAGAATCCAGAAGCAGCCCGGCGGGACTGGCTGGGAAAATGCCGGGCTCCAATGAGCTCGGCAAAAACCAGCCAGACGAACCGATACCGGGGGGTCTTCGGACCAAAGCTGTCCTGTAGGGACAGCGAAGAAATAGAGGCAGCTCGGTGTCTAAAGAGGGACAGGCAAGTCCCTTGGATAGCCCGAGAAACTCTCTCCGAGCCAATGACAGAGGGTGGCGATCAAAGTGAATTGCCATGAAGCTAGAGCCTCTGGAGCAAGCGATGTGCAGGAGGGAAAATTTGGACAGAGTGCTGGTGTTGGGTGAGTGATCAGCTAACCCACAGACAATAAAAAGAAAATTCTAAATATTTTTAACTACTAAACTATTACTAAAATTACCCCGGCATGGAAATTGCGGCTAAATAGCAGCGGAGGGAGATGGTGGATGGAAAGAGAAAGTGAGAATGACAAGCGTGCCATAGAAGAACCCGAATAAAGAATTAAAAGTGATTGACAAATGGAAATGTAAATCTAGAACTTGGATTCAATTGGGATTGGATTATAAACTGATTGGTGGTATATAAAGGTGAAAGAAGAGGTGAAAACTGGCTTTTTACTCGTTTATGACTCGATAAACACGGATGTGGATTACAAATAAAATGGTGATTTGTTAATTAGTCGAGTGGAACTGTGGATTATAGAGAGACATCTGCAGGAGAAGGAAGAGCATGACATGGAATTGTTTACTTTGAGAAAATCTTTGAAGAAATGAAACCTTGAACTTTTAAAGAGATAACTGGCGAGAACTAAGGAGGATACGTTTTGCCTACAAGGGGATAGACTTTGATGATTATAAAAGAGGGACCTTAAAGAGACTTAAAACTGGGATAAGGAACAGGAACTTAATGAACTGATAAAGACAATATGTTTGAAAATAAAGGAAATTATTATAAATTTGCATGGAAAATGGAAATCTGAGGAGCCAAAAACAGAGCTAGAATGCACTGAAGATGAAAAGGAAATGACTAATGAGAAACAAGAAAGAGAGAGGGATAATGAAAAAGACAAAGACAAAGAGATTGACTATGGAAAATTAAACAATTGTAATATTAAGTATGGACAAAAAGAAAAGAAACAAAGAAGGAAAAGAGGGTGGAATAGGAAAAATATAAAAAACTTAAATGATTACACTGAGATTTACAGTGGAAAGATAAGAAAGAAGGAAAAGAGATGGAAAATAATAAGAAATAAAGGACAAAATAAAAGATTTTATGATTGTAAAATACAAAATAAGCATACTGGGATTAACAATGAAAAGATATAAAAAAGAAAAGAGAAAGGAGAAACAATGGGAAATATAGGGCAGAATAGGAGAGTGCAGAAATTTAAAATACAAAAGAAAGGAAGAAGAAGGGAAAACAAGGAAAAGAAGGAAAAGGGTGGAGGAGAAGAAAAAATATTAAAAACATAAATGATTACACTGGGATTTACAATGGAAATATAAGAAAGGGGGGAAAGATGGAAAATAATGGGAAATAAAGGGCAAAGATTTTACAATTTTAAGATACAAAATATTAATCATGAAAAGATACGAAAAAGGAAAAGAAAAGTAGAAACAAAGGGAAAACTAATAAATGTCACATGCTCAATAATATTGGAGGTTTATAGAATGATAAGTTTTAACAATATGAATAAAGCAGTTGGGGAAATGTAATTTTTGGAATATTTCAGACTATATATTTGAAACATAATTAAAAAGAGAAAAGAAGAAAAATTAAGAATATTTTAAGAACTAATTGGATTGGGTAAAATGAGAAAGGATTAAGATGCGCTTTATAAATATACATTTGAATAAGTGGAAATTTATTGTTAAGATGTTTTGAGAAATATATTTAATGATTGAAATTGAATGTAAAACTGAATGAAATTAAAATGATAAAAATGATTTAAATGTTATACTTGCAAGAAGCAAAGCAGAAAAAATATATTGGTAAAAATAAAAAAGATAAGAGATTAGAAAATTGTTTGAGTAAAGATTTGAAGGAAAAAAGATAACAAGATGAAATATATTGTTAATAATTAAAAAGATAAGGGATCAGGGTTTCCTGAACTCCACAATGGAAAACATTAAATTGAAAATGAATACAGCAATTGAGAGAGATGAAGGAATTGGAAGGGAGGAGGAAGGAGAGAGAGGGACGGAAGAGTAGGGAGGAAAGAAGGGAAGGGAAGGGAAAGTAGAGTAGGAGAGAAGGTAAGACAGGGGGGAAGAGAGGAGGAGAAGGAGAAGGGAAGGGGAAGTAGAGAAGAGAAGAAGAAGGTGGGGAAAGAAAGTTGAAAGGAGAAGAGGGAGAGGTTAGGTTTGAGGAGAAAGATTGCTGTACAATAAAAAAAAAAGATGAAGTGGAAGAACGGCAGCTCTGAACAAACAAATATAAATATATTAAGAAAAAGAATGAATTGTTTAAGAATAAAAGAGGATAAATATGTACAAATAGTAAAGTTAGAATTTAAGGATAAATGAAGAAGGTGTTTATATATGCAAGTATAGAAATACTGAGGTATATTCAAAAAAAAGGAAAGGGAAGACAATATTGACAAAAATTGTAATTGAGTAAAATGTATTTGAATTTGACTAATTGTATAAGATAAGAAGCGACCATCACTCTGTTCAAAAAAAAAAAGAAAGAAAGATGTGGGTGAAGGTGGGAGAGGAGAAAAGAAAAAAAATCAATAAAACTTGTTTTTTTTTAAAAAAAAAGTTGTAGGTGCTTCATCACTGGAAGTTTTTAAGAAGAGACTGGACAGTCACTTGACTGAAGCAGTATAGGGTCTCCTGTGTAAGCAGGGGGCTGGACTAGAAGACCTCCAAGGTCCCTTCCAGCTGTATTCTGATTGAATTCAGATTTTTGCTTACATGCTTAGAACTCTGTGACTAAGTATAATACAGAAGCAGCGCTACTTTGAAAAAAGTCAAAGATATTCCAGTAGATAATTGTATAAATATGTCAAAAATAGTGTCAGTGCTACAGAGATATTACATTTCAACCTGTGAATAGCTATTGTTTTTAGTACCACTCCAAACTTAGGTCTAGTTTATATATCTGATAGAGACTTGCTTTAATTCCCATGAATTTCAATTCCTTTGAGATTGGTCATAAATCACTACTTTCAGTGCCATTGTAACTTTGAACAGTCACTAAATGAACTGTTGTAAGTCAAGGACTACCTATACTGTCTTTAATATTGACTGAAGATGAGCTGCTCCCCCTCACTTGCACCAAGGCAAGAAGAAAATGTGCCTCTCTGTCTTCTGTGAAATTGATAACAATTTTTCAAAATGCAATCAGATTCAGTGTCTTTTAGAGAAGAGTCAACAAGGTTTTCCCAACCAAGGGAAATATATAGAAGAAAATACTAATGCTTTAATTTCCCATGATAAGAGAAAATGAGTAAGAATTGACTAATAAAATCCAAATGGAAATTACAATTCAAAAAACATACCGTACTAAAAATGCCATTCCAGAATTTTGTAGAGTTGTTACAGGGAACAAGTGACTTGGAACTGAAAATGCATATTAAGTAGGAAGAAGAAAAAACAACAACCCTAAATTTAAAAATTGAAAAATAAATCTGCTCCTCTGTATAGCTGTTATTTGAATTAAAAATGGAATTTACTTGAAATAAAAATATGACACTGTTAAAATACTGTTTCCAGCACACATATACTTAAATATTGTTAAAATATTGTTTCCAGCACTCAAGACTCCTTTAACCCAAATATATATACACATGTAAACTTATAGGTATATCAGTGGTACCATACAATTAATAAAAACTTGTATTATATCTAAGTATATGTGCTTTCAGTAACTTGGTTGTTATACTAAATGTGCTATCAGTCGTGCAGTTAGAACCAATGTAAATATTAAAATATATGAGTTTGATATCTGATCTGCATCATACCATTCTGATACAATAGAAATAGTACTGAACATTTTATATTTAGGATTTTTTTCTTGACACATAATTTAATAAATATTATTTTACTCATTAATCTTTCCTAGCTATTTAATAAATATGTTCATAAAAATTTTTAAATAAAACATGGTAATAGAACAAGTGTCATCGTATCTCTAATTATATTCAATAATCTTATCTATACAATTTTACTTTTTTGTATAATCCCATTTTCCTTGAATAGTTTCTAATATATATTAATGCTGATACTAGAATTTTGCTTTTAATTCTATTTCTATTTTATTTCTATTTCCTTTCTAAAAGTGTAGCTGACAATGCATATGTATCTTTTGCTGATATTTAACTGAATCAATGTTGACTGTGTTGTTTTTAATCATATATATAAACATACACGTGTGTGTTTGTGTGTGTGTATTTATTTCAATTTCTGTAGCCACCCATTTCAATCCAACTCTGGGTGGTTTTTGAGTGTGTGTGTGTGTGTGTGTGTGTGTGTGTGTGTGTGTGTGTGTATGAAGACAGAAGTATGGTAACAAATTGTTCAAGTTTGTATTACTAAATTAATTTGTGTGAAGAAGTTAAATTGCCTTGCTAGGCACAGATGACTATCCATTGCATTCATATGTGTTATTTTTGTCCTTTGGTTTTAACAGTTAGATCAGGCTGGATACCACCACCACCTGCTCTACCTCCCAGGCCCTTTGTGTCACAGGTGTGTTAATAATTTCAGCATGATGTTATGCTTAATATCTATCTTAAAAGGGAGAGATAAGAGTTCTTTCTTGCCCAATCATCCATCAAAGCACACAAGACAAAGACAGTACCATTAATTATAATTTTAGGAACTATTCAGTAGTTAACTTCAACAAGACATCCTATAGTTTAAAAATAATAGTATTCAAAGGGAAAAGTGGATTGAGAAAATGTCTTCAAATAATCTATTATAAATTCTGTAATTATTTTTCCAAATAATCAGTAATCAATAATAATCCAAATAATTTTCAGTGATTCAAACAATCACTAAACAAAGTTAAAGATTACCTGTATGTAGAGACTATTTAATGTTATAATTTACAAGTACTTTTTATACATTTTAACACCATATTTCTTGATGGAATTTAAGGAATTGAAAATATCAGTCAACCAGTAAAGCATATCCTATACTTTCAGAATCTTTTCTTCATATAATAGTAGTTGCTCTTGTTATGCAAAATGTAGTTTGAAAAAAGATTCCTACACATTGAAACTTATTTTGGAAGTCTAAATGATAGTTTCTAATAAAGTTTATTTGCCTGTCTTCGAGACACTACCTTTAAGATTACTGATGAATTCTGACAATATTATATTAACTATTATGCTCATAATTTCTAGAACTAGAAGAGACATTATTTTTTATTTCTATTACACTTTCAGGTGTCATGGATAAATCAGATCTAATTGATATTTATAATGTTTACAAATGAAATTTCTATATGTCTTCTATAAGTAAGTGTGTCCATAAATATTAGATATTTCGCAGACATTGCCGATTAGGTAGTGAGAAGTAAATATTATACAGCACACAGCATTTTATAATAAATCATACTTCACAAATACTTGTTTAATCAATTAAACATACAGTGAGAAGGAGTGTCCCAAATGTTTCTTTTCTAATTTTATTGGAATAATAATGAGTAATTTTTTTTCTTTTCTATTTTCATTAAAGAATGCAGTCTTATAAATATTTATTCAGAAATAATTTCCTCCAAGTTCTGTGGTACATATTCTTTTGCAAATAAGTGTAGGATTTTTGTCTACGCTTATGCTCAAACCTCTATATACCGGTATTATCATTTGCTGTTAATACTGCTTTACCTTTTATATGGCTTGTAAAAAAAATCTGGCTACTATAATCCCTTTAATTTATATATAATAATATAAAAATACCATAAAAAGGCACCAGGTGAGAAACCAAGAGACAGTTAAGTTCTAGTCTTGTGTTAATCACAAAGCCAGCTAACTCATTTTGTGCCATCACTTTCATTGCAAATTATTTCCTGCAAGGAAAACTGCAAGGACTTATGCAGGCACTTGTCAGGAGTAAAAACTGACTCAAAGATACCAAACAAAAAACCCAACAAAAATAGTAGAATCTATGAGGATGCATGAATTTCACCTGATTATGATGTCTTTTATGACATGCAACATATTTTCAGACTACTACTACTATTTCAGCCTATCAGAACAAGTTCAGTCACTATTTGTAAAGCTTAGTTATTGCAGCCTAAATGTAAACCTGAGAGGAAAAGGTAGATTGTAAATGGAAAATAACAAAGAGCCAAAAACTTCAGATCAATATTAGGCTTAATGAATTCTGAAGAATTGAAGGGCTCACATATTACCCATTGAAAGCCCCTCTCAGGAATATTTTGTTATTGGAAATAATATTTTAAAGGTATAGGTCTAATTTATGCAAAAGGCTAGAATCTGCTTTATTTTTGAAATAATATGATCAAGGGCTACTCACCAATATCTGAATCATACTGATTTCTTTTGTTTTAAGAATGATTACATTACTACTGTAGATTTTTTTATAACTGGGTAAGCAAAATACCTCCTTGGCAGCCCTTCAGCCCATATCAAGCTCTTCAAACATCCATTATTTCTGTCAGCCAAAAATATTGGGCATTCCTGAATACAGGTAGTCCTCAATTTATAACTTTTGTTTGGTGATCATTCAATGTTGCAATGGCACTGAAAAAAGTGACTTATCATTTTTCACAGTTATGACCTTTGCAGCATCCCATGGTCATGTGATCAAAATTCAGCTGCTTGGTAACTGGTTCATTTTTATGACCATTGCTCTGTCCAAGATCATATGATCGCCTTCTGCGACCTGAAAAGCAAAGTCAATAGGAAAGCCAGATTAATTTAACAACTGGGTTACTAATTTATCAACTACAATGATTCACTTAACAATTTAAGTGAAAGAACTTAAGAAAGGTCATAAAATGGGGCAAAAGTCACTTAACAAATGTTTCACTTAACAATAGAAATTTTGGGCTCAATTGTGGTCATAAGTCAAGGACTACCTGTAGTGATATAGAATCCAGTAGGCAAACATAATAATTTCACTTGTAAAATTGGGCAAATTAAATCTTAATATTAAATTTGCAGCTATAATTTTGTTTAGACAAATAATAAAAGGCTAATAAATAATAAAAAGAGGATCAGTATGGAAATATTAAGAGCAGTACTGATCTTGTTAATTTTATGTTGTATATTCAGGAAGTGTTTACATTGCCATTTGACAATTTTCTTTTTATATCTTGTATTCTCTCATTCTTTGACTTGCTGTCATTTTCCAGGGTCAATGGTATTCATATACTGTCCCACATAACAAAATCTGTTTCTTTTTAAACCAAAGTTTGGTTTCCTGTTTAAATGTTTATTATATTTATTCATTTTTCTTATGAATTCCTACTTCACTTGAAAGTCTGACTGTTCCCCAAAGAAGAAAGCTATTCTAAAAATATTCTGCAAGTTTAAAATTAAAGTTAAAACTTTACCTAACATTCATTCATTCATTCATTCATTCATTCATTCATTCAACTATTGTTTTTTCTGATCATGCTACATAAAAAGATTGACTCTGATTGTGTTCTGCAGGTTTCTCTTCCTCTCATAAATACTGCACCAAACATGCAACCCAAATCAAGCTATATGAACTTCAGTCTTCAGGAGCAGGTAGACTTTTAAACTATAAATATAAAATCAACAAGCTTTTTTATTCTTCACAGTTTATCTCTCATCTTTATTACTTTTATAAATCATGCCTAAAGTGGGAACAGAACTCACAATTTCCTGGACACGGACACACACACACACACACACGCTCACAGAATAAGAATTGTTACTTTAATAGACGAAAAGAGTATTTTTAATTGAGGATAGCAAATTAATTTTATTTAGTTATGTATTTATTTCTTTATGCATATATAAATGTATGGATACAGATTGGGCTGGAGTTATGTATGTATATTTTTTCTTAGATTAGAGCGAAGTTTTAATCTCTTCAAATACAGACAATGCAATATAAGATTGCTTATAATAAAACTATAGAAATGTAGTTTTAGGAATTCTTCCTTCCTTGTAATCATGAATTACATGAGTAATAAAGAAGTCTCCATTACACCTAATTTGTAAAAAAAAAATTGTGTACAGAACATTCATGAGGATATGCAAGAAAAGACTTTTGTTATTTTTCTTTGTTGTTTTTCAGCAGCCTTATACACAGAGATGTCTGAAAACACTATACAGGTAGTCCTCAATTTACAACCACAATTTATTTATTTATTTATTTATTTATTAAATTTATATACCACCCTATTCCTGAGGGACTCAGGGCGGTGAACAGAGAACGATAAAAATACATGTAATACAAACGTTAAAAAAAAAAAAACAATTAAAATATACTAAACACTCTGGTCCTAGCTAATTCAAGACATCCCAGTTTAAAATAAAATCAAAAGCAATATAAAGGGAAAGTTAGGCCAGGCCGGCCTGCTGAAACAGGAATGTTTTGAGGACACGGCGGAAAGTGCGCAGATCCGGGATCTTCTGTATCTCTGGGGGGAGCTTGTTCCAGATGGTGGGTGCCCTCACAGAAAAGGCTTTCCCACTGGGGGCCGCCAGTCGACACTGTTTGGCTGATGGCACCCTGAGAAGCCCCTCTCTATGGGAGCGTACTGGGCGGTGAGAGGCTATTGGTGGCAGAAGGCGGTCTCGTAAGTACCCTGGTCCTAAGCCATGGAGCGCTCTAAAGGTGGTAACTAAGACCTTGAAGCACACCCGGAAGACCACAGGGAGCCAGTGCAGCTCGCGCAGGAGGGGAGCCACATGGGAGCGCCATGCTGCTCCCATAACTACCCGCGCGGCCGCATTCTGGACCAGCTGGAGCCTCCGGGTGCTCCTCAAGGGGAGCCCCATGTAGAGAGCATTACAGTAGTCCAGGCGTGAAGTGACGAGGGCATGAGTGACCGTATTTAACGAGTCCCGATCCAGAAAGGGACGCAACTGGCGAATCAGGCGAACCTGATAAAAAGACCTCCTGGCCACAGCCATCAAGTGTTCTTCTAAAGACAGCCGTGAGTCCAAGAGGACGCCTAAGTTGCGAACCCTCTCCGTGGGGGGCAATGACTCATCCCCAATAGTCAGTGATGGCACCAACTGACTATATCGGGACGTCGGAAACCACTGCCACTCGGTCTTGGATGGGTTGAGCCTGAGTCTGTTCCTCCCCATCCAGATCCGTACGGCCTCCAGGCACCGGGACATCACTTTAAGGACATCATTGGGGTGGTCCAGGGTGGAGATGTATAGCTGAGTATCATCAGCATACTGATGATACTTCACCCCAAAACCACGGATGATCTCACCCAGCGGCTTCACATAAATGTTGAACAGAAGGGGTGAGAGAACCGACCCCTGTGGCACCCCACATACAAGGGGCCTCGGGGTCGACCTCTGCCCCCCTGTCAACACAGACTGCGATCGATCAGAGAGAAAGAAGGAGAACCACCGCAACACGGTGCCCCCCATCCCTAACTCTTCCAACCGGTGCAGCATGATACCATGGTCGATGGTATCAAAAGCCGCTGAGAGGTCTAATAGGACCAGGACAGAGGAGCAACCCCTGTCCCGGACCCTCCAGAGATCATCTACCAATGCGACCAATGCCGTTTCTGTGCTGTATCCAGGCATGAAGCCTGACTGGAACGGATTAGATGAGCCGATTCATCCAAGTACTGAGGAAGCTGTCGCGCTACCACACTCTCAACAACCTTCGCAATGAAGCGAAGGTTGGAGACTGGACGGTAATTAGCCAACACTGCTGGGTCCAGGGAAGGCTTCTTGAGGAGAGGTTTCACCACCGCCTCTTTCAAGGCGGCGGGGAAGGCACCCTCTCTCAAGGAAGCATTTATAATCCCCTGAAGCCAGCCTCGTGTAACCTCCCGAGAGGCCAGCACCAGCCAGGAGGGACACGGGTCCAATAAACATGTGGCCGCGCTCAGTCTGCCCAGTATCTTGTCCACGTTTTCCAGAGTTACAGAATCAAACTCTTCCCAGGTAATATTCTCAAGACTTGCCTCCATCCTCCCTCCCGAATCTACCCAGTCAGAGTCCAAATTTTCCCGAATCTGAGCGATTTTGTCATACAGATATTGTACAAAGTCCTCAGCTCTACCCTCCAAGGGGTCCTCCCGCGCTTCCTAGTGGAGCAGGGAGCGGGTCACCCTAAACAGGGCTGCCGGGCGATTATCTGATGACGCAATAAGAGCGGAAAAATAGTTACACTTTGCCGCTTTTATTGCCACCAGGTAGGTCTTAATATGAGACCTTACCAGTGTTCGGTCAGATTCAGAACGGCTGGCCCTCCAACTGCTCTCCAAGTGTCTTTTCCGGCTTTTCATCTCCCTCAGCTCCTCGGTGAACCAGGGAGCCAGGTGAGATCGACGCCGGGTTAGAGGCCCCAAAGGCACGACCCGGTCCAAAGCTCCAGCAGCCGCCCTATCCCAGGCAGCCACTAGGTCTTCAGTCGAGCCGTGTGCCAGAGCCTCAGGAAATGGCCCAAGCTCCGTCTGGAACCTATCCGGGTCCATCAGGCGCCTGGGGCGGAACCACCTCATCGGTTCCGCCTCCCTGCGGCGGGGTGTGACGGTTCGAAGGTCAAAGCGAAGGAGGGAGTGATCTGACCATGACAAGGGCTCGATCGCTATATCCCCTATCTCGAGACCACTCAGCCACTGACCAGAGACAAAAACCAGGTCCAGCGTGTTTCCCCCTGTGTGAGTAGGGCCATGAACTAATTGGGTCAGGTCCATGGCCGTCATGGAAGCCATGAACTCCTGAGCCACCTCAGACGCTTCACCGATGGATGGCAGGTTGAAGTACCCCTGACCATAAGCCTAGGGGTATCAATCGCCACCGCGGCTATAACTTTGAGTAGTTCAGGCAAGGCCGCTGCCACGTGGCAGGGAGCCAGGTACGTAACCAGCAGGCCCATCTGCACCCCATGACCCCACTTCACAAGGAGGGACTCACATCTGGCCGTCTGAGGAACAGTGGCCTCCCTCGGACCAAGACCCTCTTTAATGATAACTGCCACCCCCCCGCCCCTTCCCTGTGACCTTGGCTGATGAAATGCCTGGAAACCGGGTGGGCACATCTCTACGAGAGGGAGTCCCCCCTCCTGGCCCAACCAGGTCTCCGTAATACCCACCAGGTCTGCTCCCCCCTCCTGAACAAGATCACAAATGAGGGGGGCTTATTTACCACGGACCTGGCATTGCATAGCATCAGCCGAAGGCCCAGGGCCTGAGGGTCTGTGCCACCTGGGGAACAAGAACAGCATTGGGGGCCGGAGCGTGCCACCGCTTGAAGACAGCGAGCGCGCACTCCCGCAACTTGATGTGGCCCCCTACTCCCGCCATATCTGCCCCTCCCACCTACAGTCCTGATGTAATGTCTATCAACAGCACAAGCTCTAACCCTCTCCTTGGCCCCGGATTCTGCATCTCCTCCGCCGCGCTCTTCAGATGGACTAGATCCCGTTCCTCGCGGGTTAATCCCTGAACCCATACAACCCACCCCCCTCCCGGGAGGCCCCCCAGCCTCATTATTTACATTGGAAACCACCCTCCTCCCAGATCCCCTTAAAATAGAATTTGAAAAACTATCTAAAAAACCCCAAAGCTTCCGGTTCTTAGCATACCACCTCTTGGGGTTCCAAAACCCGTTCTCGAGGGCGGCCCTAGATAACTGGGAGGGTCAAACTTGCGAGAGGGGGGAATGTCGCAGTGCTAGGAGCTCTGTTATTGAATACATCGGAGGTGAGATAGAATTGGAGGCGATGAAAGGCCATTTTCTTCTTAAGGTGTTAAAGATGGTTTAAAACAGATGGTTAAGACAAAAAGGGTAAAGTAGATAATTGTACAAGGAAACTAATATAATAGAATATCGGAATACCATCTCCCTCTTACAGTGATGGGAAAGTCTTGTGATTAAAATAAGTTAGTCAAAAAAGGGGGATGAGAGTCTCAATGACCGCCCTCTCACGGTGACCAGTCCAGAGTTACAGAGACAAAGGAGAAGATGGTCCGTCCCATCCACTTGTATAAATATTACAAATAAATTGTTCAAGACTCTCGATGTCTATGCTTCCTCCCTTTCTGATACCAGCAAAAATCCGAAGATAAGGTCGAAAAAAAGCAAGGTGGAGCATCCAGGCGGAAGAGATGAAATCAAATAATCAGGATAACTAGGATAGTCAAGGAGGAAAAGATATTTAAAATAAAGACTATAAGTTGATCGAACAGCTGCAAGTTTTTCGCTGAATGGCCAAACTAGGCCTAGGTCTAGTAAGGGTGGGGGAGAAACAGTCAGGGGAAGATCAAAAAAATCATGACTTCAGTTCTCAGCCCCCACCACTACCATGCTCTTTCAGATAGGGCCATTCAGGTGATTAAGTTGAAAATATCTCCCCTAGTATTTCAAAAATGGGGGGAATGTCCAGGCCCCCTCCCCATTACATCGAGGGGGGGTAACTGCTTGCAGCAAAGCCCTCTCCATCGTCTAGAGAGGGCATCCTCATAGCCTAGCCTCCCGGTGTTGCTGCTGATGATGCTGTCATCATCGCCGTTGCGAGTGTCATTTTAGTCAGCTCTGCCTCCGTAACCATGGCCGCC